ACAGGAGGAGGCAGGCGGGTAGAGACCAGGAAGACAGCAGGAGAGAGGCAGACATCTGCTGGCTGACTGATTGGTGAGGGGCTGGTCTGAAGACAGAGGGGGAGAGGGGTGCAGGAGGCAGAAGTCCTGGGAGCTGCAAAGGCCCGGGAGCAAATCCCCTGAGCCTCCAAAGGGGTGCAGCACTGTGAGTGTCTGCTCCGCAGCCACCAAGGCCGACGTTGTACCCAGCCTGCAGGACTTGGGGGGTGGGGGGCTCCCCCTTCCCCAGCCCTGCATTTGCGGACCTCCATAAGGGCCGCCAGTGAAGCCGGCACTCTGGGAGAGCACATGGCTGGGCGTGTGGCCACAGAGAAGGGTCCAGCTTGAACCTAATGAAACGAAGCATGGCGTGAGGCAACAGGATGAGCTGATGTCCACATGGAGCAGGGCACTCTTAGATGACGAGGAAACGAACGCCCCATCCGAGCAATCAGAAAAGCGGTAAGCGATATTGTAATGAAAAGAAAAGTGCAGATGGCAGATTCACTCAGGAAAAGATGCCCAGCCTCACCAGCAATCAAAGCAATGCAAATAAAGATAACAACCAGATGTGGCTTTTTGTGTGTCGGAGTTTGGAACAATGTAGGAAATAGACACTAACGAGCCGCGCCGGGACGCTGCGTGTGTTCAGAAGGGCAGCTTTGACTGTACGTCACACTGTAAAATGCATGCTCACCAAAAACGGGCAAGGCGCCGGGAGCACCAGGCAGGAGGGTTGGCAAGGGCGGCCTCGGGCCTCAGCACAAAGCCATGCTGTTACGGGACTCGAGTGGGAGAGGCAGGGAGGGTCTGGGAGACGCCACCCAAGGAAAGGCACCTGATTCGTGGTGGAGGTGGCTGGTGGAGCGTTGGGGGGTCCGTCTCCCTAACAAGGGGCACCGGGTGAGTGGGTGACGTGCGCTGGGGCTGGCTCTGGCTTTGCAGCACACATGGACACTGAGACAAGGGCGATCCAGCTGGATAGCGAAGGAAGCGGCACATGTTTTAGGCCACATGAGAGATTCTTGTGGCCTTGCGTGGGGCAAGCTTGCTCGCCCGGAGCACACAGGGAGTGAGCCTCAGGGAGGAGCTGCATAAACTGGGCTTCATGAAAATTTAAGGCTGCCGTTCATCAGCAGACACCAAAGAGCGAAGGGTCCGACCCACTCCTGGAAGGAATTTGCCATAGACACACCCCACAAGTGACTCAGACCTGCAACACAGAGAATGCCTCAAACACAACAAGAAACTGGCAGCGGACAACCCAGCACAAAAGCAAAATAACAGATTAAAATGTAAGAGCATCCGATGTCCAATCACACCTGAAAAATCATGGACTTCGCAGGCAAAGGCGAGTGACCAGCGGGGAAGGTGAGCTGTCGCAACAAGCGCTGCCCTGGGTTTCCTTCCTTGGGGGATGGGAGTTGGTGCTCGCTGAGGAGAGCTGCTTGGTGTCATCCGTCAGTGACAGACACATGCACTTGTGACCCAACATCTCCACACCTGCGGCCACCAAGTGCAAATGCATGTGTGGTCTGTGAAAACGGGCCCTGGAACAGCCACGGAGCCACTCACTTGGGCCCAGCTCCCCCTGGGCTGCACCTGCAGGGCGTGCTGGGGTAGGTCTCATCCCGCTGCAAAACCCAGGAAGCCCCAGGGCAGGGGAAGACTGCCGTGGGAGGCCCAGCCCATAGAGCAGACCTGGGCACTCCTACCAGGGGCACGCCACAGTGCCAGGCTTGCCCTACAGAGGGGGCCGTCTGGGGACAGGGCAGTCCAAGCGCCCCGACCCCGGCTTTAACTTTCTGGGGCTATGACTCCAGGTCTCCCTCCACAAGGAAATAAACACAGATCTGGTCTAAACAGCCAAAACCAATTTAAGACTGGGGTAAAGCGCAGACACTAACAGACTTTCTAACACTCTATGCTGAAGCGAGAGCTGAGGGGCACATGGAGGCCGTCACGGGGCTCACGTGGCCATGAGCATGAGGAACGCCAGGCCCCCAGGAGCAGGGATCCGTGGGTCCCTCGGGATGCTAACAGCTGCCACCCCGGACGGGGGCGTGGAGGGTCACGTGACGTCAGCTACGCAGCCACATCAGCCGGGTGCCAAAGTCTGCAGAGCTGGTACACCTGAGCCCCCGACCCCAGACAATGACCACAGCAAGAGAAGAAAATGCATTCACATAAACCATGTCCCTTGCTCCCAGAGGCCCCGGAGAACTCCCCACAAGCCACCGCGCCACACAAGAGAAACCACCCAGCTGCTGTGGCCACCCCAGCCTGGTCCTGAGCATTCCCACCCCAGCAGTGTGGAGAGATGGCTGTGCTCAACAGTCTGAACAGAAGCGACCAGCCGCAGGTCAGGTGGCGAACCGCGGACAGTGGGGAGATGCACCGCCCCACCGGGTGGCCTGGCTGTGCCCGGGCACGCTCCCAGCACAAGCAGGCACCATGGGGGCAGGCAGAGGCCAGGTGCTGGCCAGACCCTCCCGGGTCATCGTCTTCTGCCCCTGAAGGCCCCGCAAGGACTCAGCACGGCCAGGCGGGGCTCCGGCAGGGCACTCTGTCCCTATGTCCAGGGCCTCGGTGGCTTTGGCCTCTCAGGAGCCCCCGGAACAGGCTGGGACCCCACCTGCCCACCACACCCATAGCAGGGACCTTGTCTTCAACCTCCGAGCTCCGCACCATGCTTGCCTCAACCGGGCCGGAGACACAGACATGGGGGCACGCCCGCTCACAAGGACCTTTGTCCCCCAAGATCACAGGCGGGAGCTCCACAGAGCGCAGTGCTGTGTCGCACAGCAGCTGAACTCCCTGAGCCACGGCTCTGACAGGTTGACAGGGACACGGGCGACCTTCAGAGGAGCACCCCCACGCCCCGCAGGCCGCGTGGCCGCGACACCTCTCATTACCACCCTCTCTGGCATGACAGACATCCCCTCTGTCTCTCCTCGAGACAGGGCTCCTATTGAAACACTTGCTTTGGTAAAAATAGCTGCAGGAACCGACCATTAGCGCAGGGCCTGCACTTTAGCCCACCCTTTCTCTTTCTCTGGTTTTCAAATTGGCACCTTTGCATTTCACAGAAGACAAAAGTGCATCTTCAACCCAGTTCCCGTCAATAGTGTGGGCTGTGGTGGGAAGGAGAGGCAGGTGGCTCCAGGCGGGTGCGGGCCGCCAGTTGGGGTGCTGCTAGGAGCTGGCCCCAGCCCTGCCCAGAACCCTGTGGAGCCCTCTGCACAGCAAAGGCCCGGGACCCCCCGCCCCCTGCCATGGTCTGGAAAGAAGGTGTGCATTTCCACAACACAGCCCTCTGCAGGCGCGGCTGCCTCCGGCCTCCCTGACACCCGGAGCTCTGAGTCCCTCCAGCATCTGTCCTGACCTCTGCTCCCAGCAGTACCCACCCAGCACCTGCCCCACACCCGCCCCTCCCCACACTTAGCTGCCCCCCAAATACTCCTCAGGTCAGCCGGTGAGAACCCCAGCGAGACAGACTTCAGGCTAGGTCTACTTTGGTCTGCAGCCAACAGCATGTCATAGCTCCAGAAATGATTTTCAACACACAGACATGGAGGTTACAGGAGCGGGAGGGCAGAGGGGCCGGAGGGCCTGCTGCTCCTGTTCCCTGGAAGCTGCGTGAGTCCTTGCTGCCCTTCGTCACTTCAGTACAATGTTGCTGAGGTACAGCTGAAGGGCAGGAAGCACAAAGCACCTTCCCAGAGCTGGGTGGGGCTGGGAGGGAGGGCAGCCTCAACCTGGGACATGTGGGGTGCAGGAAAGCCTGCACATGAGTGCCTACAGCTGCAGAGGGCAAGTGGGACTGGGGACTGGCATGGAGGGACCCCAGTGTGGGCAGGCTGCGGTGCCACAGGGCAAGGGAGCAAGCCAAGGAAGGGCGTGAGGAGACAGGCACGGGAGGGCCGGCCGGCGCCCCAGCTCACGTCCCGAGCTTACTGCACGCTGCGCTTCAGCTCCCACCAGCCCGGTCAGACGGGCCGAGGGCGGGCACAGGTGAAGCTCCAGGAGCAGGCGCTGGGCATGCCTGGTGCGACAGGTGTGTGTGTAAGATGTGTGCACTGTGTGTGCTGGGTGTGTCACTGTGGGTGTCTGTGTGGGAGGACGTGTGTGCTGTGTGTGTGTGTGTGTGTGTGTGGTGGGTGAGTGTGCACGTGACCCACACACAGGCGGGTGGCCACCCTGGCTTCTGGCTGGTACCCAGCCCTGACTGAGCCAGTCAACTGTCCTGTTCTGCCCTCCTCAGGGACCCCACAGCCCTTCCACACAGGGCCAGCTGGCCTGAGGACACCCAGAGGCTGCCGTCCTTAGGAGCGGCCTCTTGGTTATGGCTGCTCCCAGCAGCAAACTCCAGAGGAACTTCCTAACATGGCACAAGCCCGGCCATGCCTCGGAGCCATGCCCTCCTGAAGCTGTCCCCTCTGGCCACCCCATGCCACACCCTGTGAGGCCACGCCCCAATGTAACACCTGGGGAAGCCATGCCCCCTTGGAGCCACCCTCCTCCAGGCCAGATGGAGGTGTCCTATGCCACTGCAGTCCCCACCCGCTGGCCAGGATAAACCCCAGCAGAACGGTGGCTGGGGTACACCCAGGCAACCAACTCGGTACAGGGCCTCGGAGCAGGAAGGGCCTCCGGAGACAGCAGAGTCACTCTTGCTGACGCTGTCACCCAGCGTGAGGCACAGCCTCCCTGCACACGCCCCTCCTCCAAGTGGGACACTGGTCATGAGCCGGATACCCTGAGGGCTCTGCATGTGTCCTAGAAGGCCACCCAACATGAATGCACGTGACCAGCCCTGTGTGCTATCCACAGGCTGCCCACCGTAGCCCCAGGAAACAGGCTCTAGCACTCACAGCAACAGGGGACCCGGGCTCCTCACTTGTCGCCGGGATGCCCTCCAGAGAGCCCTGGGTGCTGACCAGACCCTAGTGCACACTGAAACGTGGCTCACGCCAACTCACCAGTCTGTGTCTGAGGTGCACGGTGACCAAGGGGGACCCCGAGAGGTTGCGGGACAGCGCAGGTGGGGGTCGCACCTCCAAGGAGATGAGCGGACTGGCAGCGGATAGGAGGCCATCCCTGCAGCTGGCCGCCGTGGCAATCCTGGGAAATAAGGGGCCGTGGTCACCGCCTTGCATGGCCAGCCGCACGACCTCGGCCGCCTCCTGCCCTTCTGGACTCCCTCTTGCCATGACCCAATGGTATGTGCGCAGGAAGCCTGCCACCTCCGTTCCCCAGTGTGACGCCCAGCTAGACTGCTACCCTCTGTCCAGCCGGTACCCCAGCCACGCCCAGGGAGACCCAAGGAGCCCAGACGAGGAAGCTGGACAGAAAGGCTCCTTCTCTGGCTGACACTCGCCCTAAAGGATGAGGCCCAGGAGCACTGACCCCCAGTGGGGAGAGAGTGGCCAGGCAGGGCGCCCACTCTGAGGAGAGGCCTGGCAACGGAGCCCAGTGCTGCCGCCCACAGGACGCTGGGTCAGGCTGCTCCTGAAGCGTGTGCCTGAGGCGCCGTCTGAGCATGTGACCCAGTGAGCCTCTCTGCTTCCCACCAAAACAGTGTGCAACCCCGTGGGGGTCCAGACGTGGCAGGCGCCCAGTCCCTCCCCCAGCCGGCCTTCCCCGCAGATCTGAACACCACCTCTGCAGCCTGTGCTTCCCATGCCCGCAAATGACAGGCAGCGGTCGCCCTGACTGCTGCGCTGGAACGAGTCAGTACCCCGGCACCCACACAACACATCAGGGCAGAGGAGCCGATTTAAAACTGAAGAGTTGGGGACCCCTCCTCAGATGGCCCAGGACACAGTGTGGGCCTCTTGTATGCTGTGACCCCTGCAGGCCGCGAGGCACAGTGAGGCTCAGCCCTGCCCGTGAGGCACCAAGCATGGCCACTGCAATGGTCACATTAGCCCTGTGTCATGAGCCACTGCTAAGCCCCAAGAGTGGAGACGCGGCTGCTGGGTTGAGTCTTGGGAACGCAGAGGGCTGAGCAGCCCCGTGCGGTGCGTGCCCCCGAGTGAACAGGTCGGGAACATCCCAGCAGAGTGAGGCTGTGACTGACACAAGCGTGCCGCAGTCCTCCCCACAGGAGGGCGGCTCAGATCACAGCCAAGTCCTGGGCCTCTCGGGCCCCTTTCCAGCGAGTCACCTCTTCAGGCACACAGCTAGAGGAAGCGCCCGGGGCCCTGCTCATGCTAGGGAGACACCGCTGGCGGAGCCACGCCTGCCCAGGGACCTGGATCCTTCCCTGCCTGCTCTCTGTCCCCAGCTCCTTACACGGACGGACCCCGGAGGGACAAGTGGACCTGCCCCCAGGCGGACGGTGACAGCATGCTGTCTGCCCTCCACGGATGTGGAAACTGAGGCTCAGAGAGGCTCAGCCACTTTCCCAAGGTCACAGGGGCCCGAGCGTCCTCCCCAGGGCTTGCCTGACCCCACTCTGCAGCATGTACCAGGGTGGACGGCAAGATCCCAGTGGACCTCTGCGATTGGCCGGGGCCACCCAGGGCCCTGCCCTGCGCTGTGAGACACACACACACCCCCAGAGACTCACGTGGTGCTGGCAGGGTGGATGTTGCTGATGTAGTAGTGCATGGAGTGGTAGAGAAGACCCACGACTGAGGTCCAGGCTGGGGACAGAGCAGAGGCCAGGGCACTGTCAACACAGGGAGCAGGAGGCACGCGGGGTCCCAACCGCTGTGACACTGCCACCCCTTGGGCAGCCTGAACAGGGCCACTCCCAGGAGCCAGGAATGCCCAGGTCTTCCACAGAGGCAGCAGGCCCCCTCCGGCCCCTTTCCCAAGGGCAGGCGGGCAGTGGGGGTGGGGAGAACCCTGAGGCCTGGGGCAGGAAGGCTGAGGGGCCAAGAGTCACTTCTCCTGACCAGGAGGGCAGAGGCCTAGGGGGCCAAGGCTCTGCATGAACACAACACAACCGTGGGTCAGGGAGCTGAACTTGGGCTCCCATGAGTAGAAGCCGGGCCCAACAAAGCCACGCCTGGCGTGGCCGTCCTGAGTTGGAGAGGTGGGCCAGCCACCCACTCAGCCAGGGCGGGTTGAGCCCAGCAGGGACAGCATGGCCAGGCTCCCTGAATGTGGCTTTCACCCCAGGGCCAGCTGTGTGGGGCAAGCACTAGCGTCCCCTGGGCTTGGAGAAGGGAACTGGGCCCTCGGTAGCCCACACCACACTCACCTGGGCCGCGCAGGGCCTCGCTGGGAATCTCGATGTAGCTGTCCCCGTGGGCAGGGAAGCGGTAGTGGGCTGCACTCAGGGACCTCGGGAGGAGCCTGGCCACGGAGAAGTCTGTGGCAGGGACAGCAGGGGGTGGGCAGCTGAGCAGCGCTGGGCTGCGGGCCTCAGGGCTGCAAACCCGCCTCTCTCTCTCTCTCTCTCTCTCTCTCTCTCTCTCTCTCTCTCTCTCATCTTTCTGGTCTTTTTGAGACAGGGTCCCATCATGCAGCTCAGCCTGGCCTTGAGCTCGCTTTGTAGCCTGGTGTTACGGTTTGTGTCTAGGTGTCCCCCCAAAGCCTCGTGCAGTCTTGGGGCGGCTTCCGCAGTTTGGGATTGATTACCGCAGGTGTGGAGCTGCCCCCGCCCTGGGCAGGTGATGTGCATTACAAGGTAAGGAGGGGAGAGAGGCCGGCTGCTTGAGCTGCTGCTACCCCTCCCCGAGCTCTTGCTCTTTGCCTCCGCCATGAATGGCTGCCCTCTGCCGTGTGCCGCTCTGCCTTGGACCCAGCTGAGTACGGATTGAAACCTTCAGTGACTGTGAGCTAAATAAACCTTTCTTTCCTTCATTTTGAGTGTTGTGGGAGGCTCAATAACTCCAGGCCTCCAATCCTATTGCAAGTGGGTTTCCGGGTTCCTCCTCCCCTACCTCTGCTGAGCTAAGCTCCTAATTCTCCTTACCCCACCTATTTCCCGTAAGTCTCCTGCTATGCCCCGGAGGTGGGACTTCCTGTCATAGCCTGGTTGCCTAGTTACTCGCGCCTTTTACCCGCCCACGTCATGTCCCTATGTCTCCACTATATATACCCAGCACCTCCCCTGAATAAACGAGACTTGATCAGAATCCTGTCTTGTCGCCATTTCTCGCGTCTCCTGTCCTTTGTCCCCTCCTCAGTTCCCCGCTCCTCCCCCAGGTGACCTTCGTTGACTGACCCGCTGGTTCGGGACAGAGCGTTGGGTATTTGCCCCAGCAATGAGAGAAGAGTAACTAAGACACCTGGGCTGGTCTTAAACTCATGATGACCCTCCTGCCTCAGCCTACTGAGTGCTGGGATTACAGGCATGGGCCACCAATTCAGCAAACTCCTCCTCTCTTAACCAACCAGGCCCCCCAGTGAGACTGCCCTTGTGGGTGGGCCTGAAAGCAGCACAGGCCCTGGGAAGCCAACACTGCGGGGACCCCAGCGAGGGCTCCCCCAGGAGAACTTGTTCCCTGTCACCCGCTGGAAAGCACGAAGACCCCACAGTCCAGGCTACTGGTCTGCGGGCTCAGGAACTGGGGAGGCCCCAGGAAACGACACATCTGACCCAGGCAGGTGCACCCTGGCCTGGAAACAGTGGGCGGCCACACTGCCACCCAGCTGGCCTTCTGTGGGTACTAAGCACCTGGCCACAGCCACTCTGTATGAACCTCAGGCTCTGAGTGTGCCTGGGAAGACACAGAGCAGGAGGCCACACATCTGCCTGCAGGGATGGGATGCTCACTACGCTGGCAGTGCCGGCCACCCTCAACTCCAAAGCCCGACTCTGCTGTCTCCCCAGACACCAGGGGGCAGGTTCCCACCATCCCAAGACAGGAAAGTGGCACAGTCACCCAGAACTGTGCTGTGGTCTCCAGGCTGAGACCCTGCCCTGAAGCCCAACACCCCTGTGCCCTCTTTACTGGCACCACCCACCCCACCGACCACAGTCACCTGCCACGGAAGAGGAGCCTGTGAAGGTGACCTGGGGCCTGCCACCGGGCACCTTGAAGGATACATGGCCCAAGACCACGTCGATGGTGTCGAGGAGGCCTGGCACCAGGGCTTTGTCCTGCAAAAGAAGCAGTGTGAGGCGTCTTTGCCACTCTCCAGCCCAAAGCCAGAGGGACCTGGTGGACGCTACCCCCACGTGGCCTGCAGCCGGGTCACATGTGTCTTGGCCATCTCCCACAGACGCACAGGACGAGGAGGCTGTCTCAGCCCACACCGCTGCCCCTCCCAGCTTCCCCACTAGGAGAACCTAGTGAGCCCGAGTGACACTGAGGCCAAGCCTGGCCTCCCCTTGGGCTCCTGGCCTGGCTTCCCTCTGCCACGTGGAACTCAGCACGGGGGCTGCTTGCTGGCGTGTGTGGTGGGAGCAGGCTTTGCACACCCTCCACGTGTACCAGAGCCCATAGGGCACCCGGGCTTCAGTTCTGCAGCACCAGATTAGAATATTTTGCCTTCAAACCACAGCCCCTCTGCCTAAGTCCCCACGGGCCTCCTCCAGGGTCCCCATCTGCGGCCTCCATGCAAACTCCCTCCAAGTATAAGCCTGGTGGGACGCACACTTGAAGGAGAATTTCTTTACAGTTAAGACTGGGTCAGCATTACACTTTCCTCGGACTGGCCAGTGTTAGGCCTAACCTCACTGGGTGGGAAGCGCTTGCAATGAAAAGGCTGTGGGTGGGGCCCACTGTGCAATCCTGACCCAGGGCGGGGAGCAGCTGTCCCCCCAGCAGGCCGGTCCTTTCTGAGGCGCCTGACACGAGGGTTGGGACAGTGTGCACCTCGCTGTGCCTCTGTGGCCAGGGCCTTCCGGGCTGAGCCCCTGAGCTGGCTTCTCCTTCCCCGCCTCTGCCCACACCTTGGGAGTCACAGTGGCAGCAGAGGGACAGAGCCAGGGTCCCTGGGGTCAGAGGCAGGACGCAGGTTCTACCGAGGCTGTGGCTCGGCTCAGCTCTCCCGACCGACAGGGCGCTGAGCTGAATCCTCCGCACCCATGTTCTTGACAGCGCCAGGAGCCCGGGTGAGCCAGGCCCGCGGCCGAGCGCAGACACCGTCTGTGTCCACGTGAGCTGAGCCCCGGGCCCCCCGGCTGCGCAGTGGCTGGGAACCATCCGCACCAGGCTCTGGTTGCTGATGACTTTTATTCCCGTACATGTTTATTCTCTGCTTTTCCCAGCCTTTCCATGGCCATTTATGGATTTATGCTACTTGTAAATAAGTGAAATCAGAGCTTTTTAGAAATCAAATGAAACCTTCAGCTCCCTCAGATCATTTTCAGTGAGCAGGGAGGAGACACTCTGAACTGTGCTCCTCACAGAGCCCAGATGCTCACGGTTACCTTTCAACATCGGGCATCTGATTGTGCAGGAACGAGGGCGAGGCAGAACCAGGGCCAGGGGAATCAGGAGGCCTGGGCCCACCTCCGGGAGGAGGTGCCTCTTCCACCCTGTGTGCCGGGCTCCCAGCCACCCCCACATCCCCACAAGGGCCCCCGACGATCTAGGCCACGTGGGGTGGAGAGGTGCAGCACTCCCCTAGGGGACCTGAGTCGGCCGTGTTCTGCCTCTTCCATGTGACAGAATGTCCTCTGGCATGTTCATACTAAAGGTCACGTTGCTTTCTCTCACCTCTGACGCCGCCATCCAGCTGGGCAGCAGCAACACCTCGCCCACGGTCCAGAGGAAGGTCTAAGGGCAGTGGGAGGACACTATTAGAGAAACAAGAGCCGGGATCTCTGCCCCCACGGCCTCTCCCCACCTCCACTGAGAGCCACGGCATCTCCCCTAGAGGATAAGGCTCAGCCCACATCCTCTGGCCACGCCGGCACCTCACGCTAGGACAACGTCCCTGAGACAGTGCTCGCTGGCCACGTGGACATCATCATGACCTCTGGGGCTGTGACAGGACCCTAAGTCCACCACTGGGGTCCGGATGTTCATGATGGAGGGAAGCTGTGGAGCACGCGCTCCTCTAGAACTACTGATTCAGCTCACAATTGTGTCCCCAAAAGTGGCATTACGTTCTGACACTTTCAAATTGGATGCAGGATTAAGTGAAAAGTGTGAGTTCCTGCTCTTTTTTACATAAAACAGCAGGAGTGTGGGCCACCCTACCCAGTGCCCACCGACTGCCTCCACCTGGCTGGCCTCCGCCCACAGTGTCTATCTCCGACCATCGGCCCCAGGGTGAAACACAGAGCCGCACAAATCGGCCCAGCTGCCCGCTCCAAAGCAGCCTTCTCACGTTGCTAGACCCTTGTGGTCTGCAGCAAGCTGCTGGGACGCCTCGCTCTCAGCCCATACTCCGCAGGTATGCACGGAGACCCCACAGCGCGAGGCCCTGGCGCCAAGCGTGCGCACACCCTCTGCCCTCACGGGCTGAAGCAGAGCCTGGGCTTTGAGGTTTTATATCATGGCGGCAAGCACTGGGCCCTCAATCCACCCGACTCTAATCTTCTGGATCACCCCTTCTGGTTCTGTAAGAGAAGCCCCATACCTGGAAATTCCCAGATGAAGCAGCAAGTGGCTTACTATAAGTCAGAGAGCAACCGTGTGCGGAACATTTACAGACAACCACGGTGGGTCCAGGCCTCGGGTCGGCAGTCTGAGGCCTCCACGTGGGCTGACGGGTGCCAGCGCACCTGCCTGACTCGGGCCTGGGGACGTGTCACGCAGGTTGATCCAGATGCCCCCGTGTTCCGCTCTGGGAGCCGTAAGGGTCCTCGGCACCCTCTCTAGACTTTCTGTGGGCCTTGGTGGCTCACCGTTTAGTCCCACGGGGAGGGCAGGGGCATGAGGTGAGCGCCAGGACCCGTGCTCCTGGGCCTGCGTGTGGCTCGTCTGGACTGAGCAGCAGGGCGAGGGCCAATCCAGGCTAAACTTCCGAGTGGGAGCCCGGAATTAACCGCACGCTGGAGCGGTGCTGCTCTGGCTGTGCTGGCTCAGCCACCCGGGCTCGCTTGGCTTTTGAGACAGGGTTTCACTACGTAGTCCAGGCTGGCCTCAAGCTCACGGCGACCCTCCCACCTCAGCCTCCTGAGTGCTGGGATTACAGGGCTGTGCACCACGCCTGGCTAAAATATATATTAACCTTACCTGCTTTCCTTTTCTAAGAAATGTGGCTGCTGTAAAATTCAAAATAACAAATGTGGTTCATGTATTTCTGCAGACAAAACTGCCCTCGCCAGGACTCAGAACAGCGTGGCTCGCTGGCTGAATCCGGCCCCCGGACGTATGTACACATAAAGTTTGGTTGACACGCCTTCGTGCTCTCCATGCCATCCCTGGCCGCCGTGCCCTCCGGTGGCAGGGGGCGTGGACGGCCTGTGAAGGCTGCACCCTTACTTCTGGGCCCCTGAAGTCCTTTGAGTTTGCAGTCCCCACGTCGGTGAGGGTTAGCAGAGAATAGAAGCGGGCAGCCAGAGAGTCACCAGACTCAGACGGGAAGTTTCCTGTGCAGACCCACGCTGGATTCCCGGGCTCCACGCGCGCGGCTTGGCGGCTATGGAGCTGCCTGGCCGCTGCAGCCCCGCACTGGGCTCAGCTAAGCGGCCACGCAGCCGTACCCAGAGCCCTCGCCTGCTGCCCCCTCCCCCCTCCCGCTGCGCTGTCCGTGGACACTGTGTCTGCAGCCAGCCAGACACCAAGGCTCGTGCCTGCCAGTCACACAGTGCCCTGGCACCACAGACCCTTCAGTTAGCGCCCAGCAGTGCACAGGGCCCGGCGGACCCCCTGGCAGCCTCACAGCCAGGCCGGGAGCCCCACGTGGACTGGGCATGGCCAGGCTCACAGGACACCAACCCCAGCTGCCAGCTGGCGCAGGCCAGGGCTGCAGAGCCAGTTGCCAAGTCGGAGGCCGCGGGGCGCACACGGAGGGGCACCTTAATCACCCATTTCATCGTGGGGGAACTCACTCACTCCAAGTCCACGTCTGTCAAACAAAGGCGTGAGTGTGTACACCTTATTGAGCTTCCTCCTTCCGCACAGCAAGAAATAAGGGGCCGCACCTCCACACCCACTGTGCACGTGGGGACCATCCATGGGGCCGCTCTGCTTAGAGGGCAGGACGCTAATGCCTGAGCGGTGGCTGTTATGCACCAGCTGTGTACACGGCTGCCCAACGGGCAGGACACTAGTACAAGGCGGGCGCTTATTATGCTCCCTCTGCATGCCACTGCTGGCTAGGACAGCGCACACAAAACAAGAATGAGTGTCATCAGGTGCCAGCGGATCGCCGGGCACTGCCTGTCACAAGATCACATGTGCCCCAGCTCCACAGAAATAAGTGCAGGCTAATACCAACGAAGCCCTTACTGCGCACCAAGCCCTGGCCCAGGAGCCACACAGGATCTCCCATTTGCAGCCATAATGACCTATGAGGTTATCCAAAATCAGTGGACCCAAGCCTGCCCTTCCCAAGGGAACTGCAAGCCTCTCACACAGGCAACCCTTCCCCCACAAGAGGTCCTTCGGATTGGCTGAGCCAGCACACCAGTGATTGGTCTACAAGTGGTCATGTGACCTGGCTATGACCAATTAAATGTGTGAGAGCATCACGCAAAGCATCATGGGAAAAATTCTGTCCTATAAATAGGATTGGCTGGCCTTCTTCAAAGCCATGAGAGACCCCTGGGTGCCGCCCTTCTCACATGAGATGGCACCTCCACTGCTAAGGGGGACCTACAAGCTGTCCCTAGAGCAAAGAGTCACACAGAGGAGGATACCCAGCTTCCTGCCACCATCACTGGCCACTCATGGAAGCCCCACTCTGGGCATTTGTCTCTTTACCACGGCCTCAGCAATCAGCCGAGAGCCCAGCTGCCTGACCTCCCTGTGCCCCATGCTGGTTCCTCCCTAGTGGTGTGCAGAACCTGTATCTCTACCCACAGCCCCGACTGGGTATGGCTGCACTTAGTGAGTGGATGAAAGTGACATTAAAGCCAAAGATGCTGGGCTTAGCAGGGCACGCCTGTAATCCCAGCCTTCAGGGAGGCTGAGACGGGAGATTTATTATGAGTTCAAAGCCAGCCTGGGCTACATAGTGAGTTCAAGACCAGCCTGAACTGCAGAGTGAGACCCTGTCTCAAAAAAAAAAAAAAAAAAAAAAAAAAAAAAAAACCCAAGACACGTCGCTGAACTCCTGAGCTTCACGGTGCTGGTCAGCTGTGGTCAGTCCATGAGGAGCCCAAACCTGACCTTATGCCTTTCACCGCCAGGCTGTGGACTACCCAGGTGCTGGCCCTGGTCCACCGCACACGGGCACCAGAGAGCTTTACCTTCGTGAGATTCAGCGCTGTTTCCTCCGAGAGAGACGTATTGGGCAAGCTGAGGGACACATTCTGGAGGTAGCTCAGTGCGGCTCCGGGCTGCGAGAAGCTCTTCCCCTCCTCCTCTAGGCTGGCTATGATGAGGTGGTAGGCATCTGTGGGCATCTGAAAGAAACTAGCTAGCTCAGCGTCCAGAGACAGCAGCCAGAAGCCCCGCAGGGTTCTGCCACCCTATCGTGGGCCCAAGGCGCTGCAGCCCACGGTGACGGTGACACCCACCGGCACACTACGGCCGCTGTGAATGCCCTGAATGCATCCCCATGTCATCTGTGTGACAGCAAGGAGCCCTACAATAGATGGCGTGGGCACGGACAGCCGCACAGAGAGGGAACCGCAGGGAACCCTGCAGCTGAGCCCTCAACGAGGACAGGCCTTTGGCCGCAGAAGCTAACCTGAGAGGGTGATGCTCTTTGTACAAATCCACCCTTTTTTCGGGAATCAAAAGAAGAGGCCCAAAGGGAAGTAGAGCCCAGACAGGAGCATCCAGCAGCTTTCCTCCCTGTGACAGGACCCGGGCCATCCGCCTTCTGCAGCTCCCCGCATCAGGCACTGCTTCCCTCCCATCTGTTGGTTATCTCTCTCCAGTACCAGGAGAAGGGAGCCGGGGGTCCCGAGTCTCACCCTCCCTGCTCATGGTGCAGAAACACAGGAAGGGGCTGAAGGAAAAGCAAGTGACTCACTGTAGTGCCGACTGTCGGCGGCGTGAAGCTGGGCGGCGTGGATGACCACAAACCGTGCTTTCCTAGAGAGGACACATAGTGCTTAGGGCAGGGCTAAGACCTTGTCACCATGGCAACCCTTCCACCTCAGCCTCCTGAGTGCTGGGATTACGGGTGTGCATCACCACGCCCGGCTCATCACCCCATTTGAATAAGGTCCATCCTACTCAAAAGTTTACCGGCTTGAGACACACCAGACAGAGCTGAGAGCGTCTTGGGTAGGAATGCTACGGGAGAGACACGGGCTAATAAATCAGCCTAATGGGGAGATTAGATGGATTTTCCCAGCTCACATTATTCTTCCATTTATATTCTGAATTGCTTTTGCACACCATTCATGCGAGTCGCCGTATAAAGAGATGATTTTTATGCAAGGTGTCATCAATTTAAAACAAATAATGAAAAACAGGCTTCAGCTGCACCCAGACTAGCAAGAGGGAAAGATGCAGGACTGAGACTCGCTGAGCCGGACAAGCAGGGGCCCATCCCTCAGATGGGGAGGGTGAGTTGCGGGGGGCAGGTGGGCCATCCTCTCCCGGGGCCCAGGCCTCTGTACTGGGGATGCTGGGCAGACCATGCATCACCCAAGAGGCCTGAGGACGCAGAGGCCACTAGAGGGACAACTGGGCCACAAGCCACCGTGCGCTTCGCCCCAGTGACACCTGTTCCTGGGGCTCATGTCACCATGATTGACTCAAGCAAGGCTTTGACAGGAAGGGCTGTGGGGCTCTACAGGGAGACCATGGGTGGCTGAGGAGACGTGAGACTCAGCCTCATCCCAGCCCCAGGCCTTGTCCTGTGAGCGGCTGCCACACAGGCCTTTTCAATCTGTCCCAGTGGCAGGACCTGGCCAGGTGGGGAGCAGAGGCCAGCAGTCCACCTTTGCAGGAAACAAGCCCATGCCACGTGGATGGGGCACTGTGCCACTCCTGGGGAAAAGAGGGTGTCCCTTGGGACAGGCCCCTCCAAGAAAGAAGCGCTCCAGGGACCTGCAGCCATCACAGCTGTACTCACAGGTCTGTACACAGGGGCGGGGGGGGGGGGACAGCACACTGTGAGGGGTGTGTGGGGGGACAGTGTCTCAAAAGCAGGCAGAGAGGCAACAGGCATTTATAGAATGCCTGGAGCCGTGAACTGACACGAGAGGGAACCTTCTTCGGTTTCTCAGAAGTGACTTCTGGCTGCCCCACGCCTGGCCCATGCAGATGGATATTTATGCCCCATCTGCTGCACAAAGCCCTGCCCGGCATTCCCCTGTGCCCTGCCTGGCACTCCCCTGTGCCCAGCAGAGGTGACACTTTGGACTCAGTGCCATGCCTGCACGCCCAGCACTGGGGAGGTTGAGGCAGGAGGGCCACTGTGATTTCAAGACTAGCCTGGGCTACACAGAGAGACCCTGACTGAGAAAAAACCAAACATTTAAAAGGGGCAGACAAAGGCCCTGAGTTTGATTCCTGTTACCACCTAAAAATGATGGTCGCTAGCTCCTCTGCCTTAGGAACAGGACTGCGTCGCGACGTTTGCTGGGACGCTGCTCTCACCTGCCTCGCTGCGCGCTGTGACAGGAGAGCGAGGCAGACATGGGGACAGGGCCCAGGGCACACACTAACCCACAGCCGCCGAGAAGTACATCCAGACCTCCGCGGGGGTCAGCGCCCGCTCCCAGAAGATGAACTCGTCGAAAGCGCCATTCTCGTAGCATGCGGCCTGGTCCTGCTCCGGCCCGATCACGAGGCTGGCGCTGGGCTCCCCGTAGCTGTGCGACACCTTCCCACGGGGCTGGGACGTGCTCAGGGTGCCGTTGATGTAGACTTTCAGGCCCTCCTTGGAGTTCCACGTGAACAGGACATGAGTCCAGTAGGGGCCTAGGAGAGAGGAAGACGGCGGCTGTGGCGCGGTGGGACGGGCCTGCAGCGTGCGGCCAGCCTCCGGCGGCGAGGACTCCCTTCCCGCCTCACTGCCGACTCGGCCCTGGGGAGCCCCCGTGCAGGGCACACAGCAGAGCCCGACCTGCCTTGAGCACAGGAAGAAGCTGCCCTTGTGCTCCGTCCTCAGAGGCAGAGCGAGGAGACTGCTATTTTAACACAAGCGTCACAAGCGTAAACCCCTCCAAGCCAAGGGATCAAATGCTTTTTAAAAGGCAGGGCACAGCAACAGTAAGTGGGCATCGCAGGACTGAAGGACACAAGGTTGACGTGCAAAGGCCAGTTGCCTTCCTAGGCACCACCGATGAACAAGTACAAAGGTGAACGTTTAAAGAACCCACATCATCCTTTACCTTAGTGCTGCGAAAAAGACCATTAAGTACTCAGGGATCATGCATGAGATCCGAGGAAGAGCGCAAGGCTCTAAGGAAAGAAGTTCAGCAAGAACTAGACAAATGGAGAGGTGCCTGTATTCAGGGTAGTGGGCCCAACACTGCCAAGATGCCAGGTCTCTCCAAATTAATCTAGAAATGCAGTGCAATTCTGATCCAGATCTCAGTAACGGACCTTTAGGTCGCAACAAACTGATTCTAAAGTTTATATGGAAAGGCAAATACCATGAAAATCCACAAAACAACGAAGGAACAAAACAGAGTAGGAGGCCTGACCCCTGCTTTCAAGCCTTACTCAGCAGTGACAGTGATCAGTAACCAAGGGAGTGTGGACTGGGCTGGGAGGCTTCAGCAGCCAAGCAGACCCGCGAGCCGGGAGAGACAGCCGGAGAGAGAGCAACACCACGTGACAGGGCTACGGCTCATATCTGGACGTCCCCCAAGCCTCATGAACTTTTGTGTGGGGCTTGCAGGACAACTGGCCCCTGAGTGCATGACACCAGGTGAGTCCGCTGCAGGGATGGCAGCTGGGTGTGGGGCGGGGAGGTGGGCCTGTGAAGGGGCGGTCCTGGGGGGGCCTGGAAGGTTGCTGTCCCTCCTCCCCCTTGATCCCTCACTGCTCGCTGCCGCCCTGCCTAGGAGCCAGCTGACCTCGAACTGAGCACGCCCCACTCTTTGCGCCAAAATAAACCTTTCCCTTTTAGGTTATGGTGTTGGGTGTTTTGTGCCAGCGACGAGCCAGTCGCTAAGGCGGCAGAGCAGGCTACTTGGTAGCTAACAACGGAGCAGAGGCAATTCAAGAGAGCCAAAGTAGCCGTTTTAACCAATGGCACAGGAACAACTGGATACCCAAGTACAAAAGAAAGAGAAATAAATCTAGACACAGAATTCATGCCCATCATAAACATCAAACCAAGTGGACGACAGACTTAAATATAAAACGCAAAACTATAAAACTCCTGGCAAGAACTAATAGAACAATCTAGGTGTTTGGAGATGACCTTTCTTGTGGCGGTCATTGTTTGAAACAGAGTCTCTCCATGTAGCTCAGGCGGGCCCCCAGCTCACCGTGTAGCTCAGGCCGGCCTTAAACTTGCAGCAGTCCTCCTGCCGCAGCCTCGCACTGCTGGGGCTACAGGCGCGCGCCACCACGCCTGGGTGGTGGTGGAATGTTTGTTAGGCTCACCACAAAAGGCACAGCCGTGGAGGAAGTAGCTGTGAGGCGGGGCTTCATTAAAGTGAAGAACCCCTTCGCTTTAGGGAGACACTGTCAGGAGGACGGGAGCCCCAGCCACAGGCAGGAGAACAGGTTTGTGAAACATGAGCACGCATGTGGCGGCCAAAGTACACTGAGACCTCTTGGGACTCAACCACCCATGCAGGAAAGCATGGACAGGTGCCGCCAGCCGCAGGACGCAGTGCCGGGATGGGCGCCGGGTGACCAGGACGTGTCCATGCCAGTTCATCAGCTCCTGGAAGAGCCTCTTCGGAGAGGACCACGGCCTCGGGGAGGCTGACACAGGGCTGCAAAACCACCCAAGGGCCGCGTTCAGCCCCCGGCCACGGTGCCGGCCTCAGCACGATGGAGCAGGCAGGACACTGACCAGCATGGCAGAGACCATCCCGGCTCCTTGGGGAGCTGACAGTGCACCTCTGCGCTTGCCAGGAGAGGCTTGTGACGGGCAGCGTGTCCGACGCGTCCCCTGTGCCGTGTGAGTGTTTGCATCCAGATGTGGAAGGGGCGGGGCGGCCCTCCCCAAGGACCCCCACCTGCAGGCTCCGAGGACCCTCCAGCAGTTACGCCAGGCTCCTGTCTCAGGAGCGTGCGACCTTCTAAGAACGTGCAGTCTCTGGAGATCACCTGACCCTAAACAGGCCACAGCCGGCCGCATTGCCCTGAGGTCTGTAAGGACAGCGCATGGCTGCGAAGCGCAGGTGAAGAGCAGGCTGCCCTGCCGCGGGGTCCCCGAAGCCCACCAGCTGCGGGACCCTCACACAGCTCAAGCCCAGAGACCCCGCCTACCCCTGCTCTGTCGCCCCAGCCCCAGGTGCCCAGGGCGAGGCTCCCCCCGGAAACGGTGACGGGCCCCATGCAGAGCCCGGAAGGAAGAGCCCCCGGGAGCAGCACTGTGCAGGCGCGAAGGCAACTGTTCCCGGGCTCAGGGATCCGAGAAGACAGACTCAGTGTATGCAGCCGCCGCCACATGTCTACCCACTCACAGTGGAGGTGCGCACCCACCAGAAAGCTTTGGGCCCCCGAACAGGTGGCAGCCAGGCCTCTGCACCTTGGGTCTGCAGCCCTTCTGTCTCCCTGTGGTGGCGCTTCGCGTAGCGTGGGGGTGCAGGTGCCAGGGCCACAGGTCACAGGGTCACAGCCAGGGGCCACAGGGCAGGCAGCTCTGCTGTCCAGGCTTTCTAGCAACTTAGCCACGCAGCCACCGTGGACGGGCCAGGAAGGGACACCCCTGAGCATCCCCAAGACGCTTTTGCTGGCCCCCTTCTGCCTCACACCCCTGTCTCCTGGTCACTGCCTGGGCTGTCCCTGTGGACACCCTGGAGTCCTCTCCCCCTCTCCAGGGTCCACCTCAGCACTGCCCCCCTTCCAGCCCAACCTCCAGCCCAGCCCAGCAGAGAGCCCTGAGCCAGGAGACGACGGCACCCATCAGAGAGAATCAGGCGCCCCTCCACCCGGGCTCTACCGTGCGCACCCCAGCCTTGCGGGTGGGGGGGCTGCCTCCTCTGTCCCCACCAGGCCACCTCTGCCAGTCCTCAGCCACCCTCCCTGCAGCCCCTCTCAGCAGGCAGCTTCCGTCTCCACCACAGATGGAGAGGAGGAGGAGGCGGTGAAGGGAAGCTGCAGGAGGACTATAACTGCACCTCCTGCCCAGCCAGCAGGGGGCACTGTCATTGTCACCTCCACAGCCCTGTGACCTGGGCAGGCACATCTCTGACTCCAAGGACCCCTCCCCAGGCCCCTGAGACGCAGGGGCCACATCAGTGTCAGCAGTGGCGAGAGCGCAGAGGCCCCGGGCCAGGCTCCCGGCTCACCCAGCAGGCTGAAGGTGGCCTTCCACGTCATGAAGTTTGCTCGCGTGTACAGCTCCACAGAGCCCCGGCTGCCGCTGGAGCAGACCTTGAAGGCGTCGGAGATCACCTGTCCCCTGTACGTGGAAGGGGCCGGCCGGGACTGCTCTCCCTGGATCTTCCAGAAGAAGGAGAAGGTGACCCCTGCGGAGAGAAGGGGCAGGAGGGGCGTCGCTGTCGTAAGCCTTCCCGGGAGCCGAAGGGCAGAGCCTCGGCCTGAGGAGTGCAGCAGCCTGCTGCCTCGGCCGCTGGCCTGAGGACCCGTGGCGCAGGACACGGAGCGGGACGTGTGGGGCTAGAGTGTGCACACGCAGACACCACACCAGCCCGGGCCGCACCTCAGAATCACAGCTCTACACGCACGTTACAAGAAAGGGGTCCCCCGTGCAACCAGTTAGGAACGTCTGCAGAACTCTGCCTGCCCGCGCGCCTCCTCCCATGTCCAGAAACGCATGCTAGCTTGTCGTTCTTACATCCGCACAGCGCGGCCTCCTGAACAGGACACACGGGCTTTCTTAAGCAGTGCCCTTGTGTGGAGTCTTAAGGTTTTCATCCAAGTTCTGAAGGAATCTTCCAAAGAGAACCCGAGGTGAAAGGCTTGGGCCCCCTCGGACCAGAAGCTTTAGAACCCTGTCTCCGCGGGGAGCGCCTCTCACACGGGGGGGACTTCGAGGGTTTTGATGTCTGTGGCTGCTTGTTTCCAGGCAGTGATCACTGCTGGCAGTGACAGTTCTGAGGACCTTCAAGGGCAGGCACTTAGCAGGTCCATCCTGCAGGGAACCCACAGAGCCAGTTCCACGTTCCAGTCACAGATGTCCACGGCTGGGTCACAGTATTGTGGGGGGACAGGCGCTGGCCCTGGGGTTTGTCGGCTGTACCTGGCTCATTTCTGATCCTGTCTTTAGTGAGGCCGTGGACAACAGCCACGGTGCCATCCCTGCACACTGGCATCCTGACCACGTACCCCACAAGGGTGCTTTTGTGGGCCCCCCGACAGTGCCCACGGCTCCGCAGTGACCCTCCGGGCCTCAGGCTTCTCTGCAGTCCTGGAAACCTGGGAAGCGGCCGTTTTTGAACCCTGCCTTCAGGCTTCTCTGTTTTATCTTTTTACATAAAAATAATCTTGAGATCTTTGCACGGTCCTGATGCAAAAAAGCCGAGTTTAGAGGGAGCAATCGCAGATGGAACAGGCACAGGGCCGTGAGTGTGTGCGCCTGCTGTGCCCTCGTGCGCACAAGTTTTGGAGAAAAGGCCGGCAGGACCCAGACCTTCCTGAGCCTCCGGGAGGTGCCAGTGTGGACTCCAAGGTGAAGCGGGTCCCCCCACAAGGACACGTTGTCACCACAGGTGACGTCACCAGAGCCAGGGGCAGGGGCCGAGTATCCAGGCCTGGCCATGGCCTCAGGCTTCATCGGCCCCAAGAGCAGCAATTTACAGGGCAGAGAGCACCGCATGCTGGGAAACTGTTGTGAGACAGTCCCAGCGGATTTGTGGACGTTGGGGGTTTTCCTAAAAAGCTTTGTGTGAAAATTCCTTTCACTCAATTCAAAATGGTCCTGTCTTGGCCAGATATCTGTCTGTCCAGGAAGGAAAATGAAAGGTAAAAGTTCAGAGCAGAGTTAGGTGAGGCTCAGGTCATAAAAATAAAAATGAAAAGTGCGGCACGGTGCTGGATCAGCGTGAGCTGGAGCCCAGGTGTGCCTGCAGCAGCCGCCACCGTCCGGGGCATGGCCACGTGCCCGCCCGCTCTGTGCCTGCCGACTAAGGGGCACAGGGAAGCGCAGGCCCGGGTCAGAGCAGCAGTGCGGTCAGGGCTGGGGGCAGAGGGCACCGCTGTGACGGCCCCGAGCCTGGTGCTGGCGGTGAGCCCTGACTCCTGCTCCATCCAAGCGGTGGAGAGGGCTTGCCAACAAGGAAGCCAGAGCCAGGAGTCACGAGGCGTGCCTGGTCAACTTGGGAGCGGGTCACAGCGCGCTACAGCACAGAAGTTGCCACCATGCAGTGTGACGGAGGACAACGAGCAGGAAAGCGTTAGTGACACGCTGAGCAGAGGGAAACGTGCTCTCTTCCTGTGTGGGGAGCACTGCGTGAGGAGGAGCGTGGCTCCTGGCTGCGGCGGCGGCCGTGCACAGGGGCACCAGGCTCTCTCGGCATGAGCTCTCCGCCCTCCAGAGGCTGTGGCCACAGGGTTGGGGATGAGGCCAGGATGCCCAGAGGGATGCGCAGCCTCAGGGCAGAGGTGAGACCAGGCAGCAGGGTGGCCAGCACCTCCGGCACTCGGCACCTGGGGGGGTCTTCACGACCTGGAAACCTCCAGGCCCCAGAGCCCTCCACTGGCCTTGCCATAGCCCTGGCCAGAGCCCTGCAGACAAGGCAGAGGCCAGCAGCCCTGGTGAGCAGCGTGAGGACACAGAGGCCACGCAGGACCCAGTGCTGAGGATGGTGGGTAAAGGCCAGCACCATGGGTGGGGGGTGCCACAGAGGGGCAACAGGGGGCTCATGCAGGCAGGACTCATGCAAGCCTCCAGCCACGTGCCAGCAGGAAATGGGAAGAGAAAGACACATGCACAGGACACACAGACACACAGACAGCAGGGACACGCGGACCCCAGGGACACACAGACCCCAGGGACACACAGACCCCAGGGACACACGGACCCCAGGGACACAC